GTAAATTCCCTATAACTCTGGACAGCAGGCCTAAGGGCCGTTATCCTTTTGGGGTTTTTCATACCTCACTGGGGTCTACCTTATGCACAGAGTCCGAACTCACAGGCGGTTGGACAGTTGGGGACCTTCCCTCGTTAGCTTATTGTTACTGAGGTGCTGGATTTTTATGATAATTTTTTAAGTCAATGCAGTATTCCCCTTAGGAACATTAGGAAAGTGTATTTTCGACGTGAAATTTTACACAGAAATAGATCTTGACAAAAATAATTTATTTTCAAAAATTTCAGATCTTTTGAGTGGCTTCTATCTTGAAAGAAGAACATCAAATCTACAGGTGTATATAAAACTATTCTCAGTGAGACTAATCTTTATGGAAATTTTTCTAGTGTTTCTAAGAATCACGATATTAACTTTAAAAAAATATTATAAAAATGCAATATCCCAGCGGTAGTAAGATAAGGACTCGAACTCTTTTCACTGTACTTCCAGATCATTATTAGGATTTCCATGAAGTACATAGTATCAAATCAAAAGCGATAAATCAGTTGCAGAACTTTTCTTGTCAGTTTTGATAAACTAATGTTTGCATAAGAAAACAACTTGATTGAAATGAACTTCAATGTCCATTACTTTTACTTATACTTCTAAAGATACTCTGTCATGTCGTTATATTTATATGAATCTAGAGGAAAATACTGAATTTTTCAGCAGGATTCTACTACAAAAGTACGATTCTGCTAGAAAATTATAATAAAGTATCCGTATTTCAGCCAAATTGCAACTTATGCTTATATTGTTTTAGGTTTTCGGCAGTCCAGGATTATAAAAATCCTTGGAGACACTTTCTGAACTAAGAGCATGAGATCAAATAAGATGTTTTTATATTCAGTTGATTAGATAAGTGTAAATTACTTTTTTTTTTCAGATCGAAAATGACAACGACAGACAATAAAATTTTAACATCAGCTATTGAAACATATCGTCATTATGCTGGTCAACCAACATTATCTGATATTGAATCATGTAGTCAAGATTCTAATGATGAAATTCTTCATTTAACACCTTATTTTTCAACAATGGATCTTGTTAAATTAGAAGATTTAACTTATACACGTTCATTTACTTATTCATTAAAAAATCGTCAACTTTTATTTACAAGTAATATAACACCAATTAATAAAAATATTGTCCGTCGTCTTGCTTCACCTGATGGTCAATATCTTGCATTAGTAACAAAAGAAACTAAAGGTGAACAAGATTTATATTATGTACAAATTTGGCATGATGAACATTTAATATTTGGTTATGAAGCAAATGATACTAAAATATCACCACATGGTAAAATTTTACCTAAAAATGATTATGGAAGTTTTTTTGAATGGAGTCCAGATTCACGTCGATTAGTTTTTACAGCTGAAGAAAAACGTAAACCATTAAAATCTTATTTTACAGCTGATAAACTTGATGATATTGGTGAACCTGCTAGTACTTATCGAGAAAATTGGGGTGAACAAATGGAATTATTTGAAACATCAATTGTATGTATATTTGATCTTGATACAAAACAAGTTAAATTAATTGAAAATCAACCAAAAGATTTATATTTTGGTCAATGTACATGGACAACAAATCCAGATGAATTTATTTTAGTTGCATTTCGTATTGAACCATATCGACTTGGTTTAATTTTTTGTGAAAATCGACCAACAGCTTTATTTAAATGTAATTGGCGTAATAATCAATGGATACAATTAACAGATTTTGATCAATTATGTCGATTATTTCCACGATATTTACCAAAAAAAGAGAATGAATTTGTTTATCTTCAAACTGATATTTATCGTGCACATGCACAATGTAAACGATTAGTACTTTTTAATACGGAAACAAAACAAGAAAAAATTCTTATCGATAGAATAGATAAGTAAGTCATGAACCTTATGTAAGTGTACACAATCCAAAATTCGAGTGGATTGTTTACTGATAAGAATGTAAACATAACTGAAATCACTTATTTAAAAAAAAAAAAGAAGAAACTCTTTGAAAATAGTATTGTATGGAATTGGTTTTATATTTCTCATGCGGCCCTAACGAACATATTTTAAATCAAAGAAAATAATATTTTTCTCAGGTTTAAATTTGCAGGATATCATATAATAAGAGCCACAAGAATTAATGTCGGCGCCAGAAGTAGATGGAGAAAACTCAAGGAGGAATATCTCCTGAACGGATGTAGCTAGCGACCTACGGTTTTCACCATTAGAAAGAAAACGCCCAGGGGCAACCACACATGGTAAAATATAATTGGTCAGCAATGGACCAATGAGATGCATTCTCGATGGAAATGTTGAGCACGGTATTCTGGAGCTGTTTCTCAACTTTGCTCGATTGTTAATTTACGTTTT